GTTATTTTGGCAGTTTTTGTACTAACTCATTGATTTGTAATTAACACAAAGATGCATTTGTTGCAACTCATAATTTTAATTTATGTAATACGGTAGCCAATGTTAAGTACAGTTTTATTTGGTTTTATGTGACAGATCTGCATGTGCATGGAACAGTAGTGCGAACCCCTTATTGTATTTTTATATTTATAAAGTGTTTGCATCTTTAAAGTGGTGTGCTTAAAAAGTATCTTCTCTTCTCCCCCCCCCCCCCCCCCCTGCCATATTTTCACTTGTTTTTAATTTAAAGACATTTTGACATTTCAATTTTTAAAGAATTTGTTTCTCCATCTCAATGTTTTATTATTGACAGACTATTTTTAGAGCTAGACATAAATAAAAACTTAATGTACAGTTGAACACAGTTGTCATTTGCATGTTTGTTGTTAGTTATTCATGTATTTTAACATTGTAAATAATTTAAGCAAAATTCTGTATGCTTTATCACTGCTAGCCTTTTCAGGATATGTATATCCAAAAAACTTTTAATTGTCACATCACGTCGCATAGTGTACATACTTTCATGTTACTGTTAATAGATTTTCTTTAAATAATTAACTCTAATAGTGTTATAGTAAAAGATCCTTGAAAATGTATGGATTGTATCGTGTGCCACCTTATAGCTTAAGCTTCTGTAGTCTACTAGTTATATTGTTACTTTTGGGAAAAGTATAATGTGCATTTCTTCTTTAGGTAGAGGCTTGATGAATTTTGCTGGAAGATATGATGGCACTAGCTGAGAAAGATACCCTGAATGTTTGCAGAGATGTCAAATTCTGTCTATAGGATTTATAAACCATTTTTAGTTCCTTTATTTACCAAACTCCAGCGGTTGTAAGTGCAGGCTATCAAATGATTTTTTTTTTAAAGTGTCCAATAACCAATATTTTATGTTTATTTTCTGTAGTAACTTTTAGATATAGAAAACTTGTTCATATTTTGTATCTTTTATTTGCACAAAGGAAAATGTTACCATAGTATCTTGTTTTATTGAAATTCCACATTTAATGTACTGGATTTTATGATACATGATTGTGCCACAAACATTTGTGTAAATTGTGTGGCAATCTCATTTGTTGTATTCTTGTCATCATTGTTCATTTATCAGAATTTTTAATCATTAAATGATCACTTTTGTATTTTTTCTTTGGATTGTATTTTTTTAAATCAATTTTATCTAGTTCAACTCTTTTAAGGCCATTAATGGTAATGCAATGAAATGCTGTCTGAATACTCTGAATAGGTCTTTTCTAAGGGTAGACACAAAATAACCCTAACTGCATACAACCTTTAGAAAGATTATCTGATAATTATCATGTTTTAAATTAAAAAGAAAATGTTTAGTTCAATCAAATTTTAATTGAAAAATGGATGGTTAAACTTTTAAACCACTGAAAGGCAGATCACTTTTTGATTAGCCATAAGCACATTAAACGTCAATCCTTCATACTACTACTATTTGATCTAGATTAAGTTTGGACGTCAGGTTAGAGTTAGATTAATTCATTGCCAGTTCAGTACACAATACTGGAAGGAGAACTGACAGTTTTTTTATGAGCTTCTACTTCTATATTGTTAATTCCAAGTAATTGAAAGAAAACAGGGTGCTTGGCTTAGCTCTTTACACAATTATTCTATTAGTATTAGATTACTTGTAATAAAATGAGTGAGAAAACCCTACCAAGAAGTTGCTATAAAAATGATTCATTATCTAGATCCTACCCTAGCTCTTCCGCTAACTCATGAAGTCGACAGCAAGCATGTGGCTTTGTCACCCAGCTGATGCAATGGTAGCAGGAAAAATAAAAGCGAGCACCAACAGATTTGAGTGATAAAGCTAGGGAGTGTCATTAGGGGTAGACAATAAAACATGGTGAATCTAAATAGATTGCAGTAACGGGGGGGGGGGGGTGATTTGCACTTATTTTTTTCCCAATTTGCATTAAATGCTTGATTAAAAATAAATTGCCTGACCAATGTAAGCATTGATTTTTTTTTGTAAGATAGTGAGCTGACAGTTTTTGAAAGGCCGTAAAACTGCAAATCCATCTCTTCGGCCACCGTTCAAGTAAATTGGTCAAGCGACTGCTAACGAAAATGATAATTATGTTGCATCTGGATTTTTATAGTAATTAATACTAACTAGTAATACTAAATTGCTATAGTTATTGTAAATGAAATGCTACTAGAAGAGTCCACCTATGGCTCAGATACAGAGCCTGCGTTAGGATTAAGCGGGACCTATGGTCAACCATCCTGTTGGGGCCTGCTTTTTTACATTATATTTTTATAAATAGCCTATATAAACATGCACATATACAGCTACTAGCTACACGAATGTTTTGGAGTCTATAAGCTAATGCCAAACTCACTTGAATATCACTGATATTATCAGATGCTCACCCCTCCCACGGCTTACCAAAAGTTCTTAGTTTTTTATTACTTGAAAGTTAAATATTAAATCACTTTTGACAGTTATGTAATCTATACCAAATCACTGAAGCAAATTTAATCTTATGTCAAAAAATTAGGACAATAAATAAAGTTGAAATTGTTAATGACCAATAGTTAAAAATGAAAGTCATGCGATGCGATTAAAAAAAAAAATTCATAAAAAACGTTTTAATAACAAGCTTTTATGTAATGACTAGGCATACTGCCTAGCTTCGCTTAGGTTTTCAAAAAAGTTGAGTAATTGAATGATTAATTAATAGGTGATTGGCTGTTATGTTAAAAGCTTAGGGCCTAAATTTATTCAGTGTGGTACTTTTATTGTAACCATAAATTGATGGAATATTCGCAAACTTATTACTCGCAAGGTTATTAGAACTGAAAGGGCTTTCATAAAAACTATCAATCAAATATTATATTAAATGATTTTTGCAATTAATTTTAATATTTCTATACAATACAAAACTTAATTTATAACAAAATATTCGTTTAAAACAATGCTGCACTTTATGATTTTTGTTTTTTCTTAAAAAGAGTATACAAAATATAAAAAAAAAATTGTTACATTAAAAAGTTACCTCCCCTGTTCATAAACAAACTGACCAAATCTCGTATAATGAGAATTTCACTCGCATTCATTTTTAGCCCTCTTCGAGGGCTTTGATGCTGACCAACAGTTTTTCCATACGGCCCAGTCATCTATAGAGGTGTATGCAAAAAATTAGCCAGTTATACAAAGAGTAAGTACCCTAAAATTTGTGTAGAAATTACCCTGTTTTCCCCATAAAATACAAAGTTTATATAGGGAAATACAACTGGTCAGTTTTGACCCCTTTACGAAGTTTTCCCAGATATGCCGAGTTTTTTGTGACACCCCAAGGTGTTCTCCTACCACGTCACAAAATTTCAAGGGGGGTCGTCGGAGGAATTTTTTTTTCGTAATAGAGCTCATATAAAGAGAATTTCACTCGCGGTCACTTTTTAGCCCTCGTCGAGGGCTTTGAGTCAAACCGACAGTTTTCCCTAAAGGTCAAGCCATTGACCTAAGAGTATGCAAAGAATTAGCCAGATATACTGAGTTTAAGTACCCTAAAGTCTGCGTTGAAATGACCCTCTGTTTTTCCCATAAAATACAAAGATTATATAGGGAAATACAACTGGTCAGTTTTGACCCCTTTACGAAGTTTTCCCAGATATGCCGAGTTTTTTGTGACACCCCAAGGCGTTCTCCTACCACCTCACAAAATTTCAAGGGGGGTCGTCGGAGGAATTTTTTTTTCGTAATATAGCCCATATAAGGCGCCGGTCAGTCGAGGTCAGTTTTGACCCCCCTCTCCGTCGACTTTTCGGCCAACCGTCACCGGCCCTCGTGTTCTATCGACCCAAGGCACCATCGTGCCAAATTTGACGCGCCTGCGGCGCCGGGAAGTGCCCTATCGGGCACTTGACCACTTTGCTTTATATATATAGATGCACTAAAAAGTAGAAAATAAATTATAGACTACTATTACTATTTAAATAACTATAAAGAAAAGCGTGGGTGTCTTCCTTAACATTAATAAAGGTATCCAATCTGTAATCGTGCAAAAAAAAATTCGAGATTTTTACAAATCTCGACGTTTCACACCTCACTGATACGGAAAAACATAATTTTGCAATCTTGTCTGTGTGTCTGTCTGTCTGTCTGTCTGTCTGTCCGTGTGTAAACACGATAACTTGAGTACCGTTACAGCTAGGTTGATGAAATTTCATATATAAGTATTTAATCAAAATCATAGATCCGTATCAACTTTTGAGCGATTTCCGATAACATGAAGTGGTACTTTTCCTACTTTGAATTTTTCAAATGCCTATATAACTTGAGTACTATTTCAGATAGATAAATGAAATTTCATACGTAAGTAAAAGATCTAATTCTCTACCTTCTATTAAATTTTGAGTCATTTCCGTTGACTGGAAGTAGTACTTTAAGCTACTTCCGATTTCTCAAAAAACTAATGTAAATTTTAACAGTAATAATAATATTGCGCACTATTATGCGCTTTTTTATTTGGCGTTCACTTGGTGTGCAATTAATTTGTCTACGAGATTTTATTCTATTTTTAAAACTGTAAGTATTTAAAATGGATTAAAAATCATGTCTATAGCCCGAGTTCCCATCCCCTTGTTATTTTATATAAGAATATTCGAGAAAGTTTAGGGGAGATCACTCCCGGTTTATTTAAAGTATAAGTATATAAGTAATTCAAAATTGATTAAAAACATGTCTATATCCCGATTTGCATTTCCCGTAGTGTTATATAAGAATAGCCGAGAAAGGTTAGGGGAGATCACTTCCGCTTTATTTGTTATGGCTTTTAATCTAGATCTAGCTTATTCTCTAAACTTAAACTTATTCTATTTAAGTTCAAATATAGAATTTTCTCTAAACAAGATAGGCTTTTTCATTGACATTTTTGTGCATTAAGGCAACAAAGCACTTAATCAGAAATTTTTTTTACAACAAAGCATTTGATTTCATTTGCTTATTTTATTTTGACATGATAATTCTTCTCACTTTGGTGAAGAGACATTTCTCTTTCGCGGGGTCGGCCAGATCATGCGTTTTTCTGTGAAGTAAATAGAAGTTGAATAGAACTAAACATCATGGGAAAATAATTAATCAACCTTTAGACTTAAGACAAAGTGAAAGTCACATATACAAGAACACAATGATTATTGATTTTTTAATAGGCCCTACCGGCAAATATAACTTGTCTGCCACTGGGCATTGCTGAGAGGAACAGGGTAAAGACATAGGTTATATATAACATCTGGATTTTATACAGTTTTCTTGAAGTATATATTAATTTTCCCGGAGGGGAGGTGGTGGTGAGGGCTATTATAATGCGCTTGTCACAGCTGGAGAGAATGTTATGACATATGCATGTCAACATGACATATGTGTGCCAGCAATCTATTTCTTCAATGTAACCTTTGGGAGAACATGACAAACTATGTACAATTTGTATTTCCCCTTTTGAAAGAACGGAAGTACTCACACATTTGAGGTCGGTCAACTTGTACGCAGGTTTAAGCCAAGGCTGGCTCCACACCTTGAAGTCACACTGCTGACTCTGGGGAGACAAAAGGTCAACATCCAGGTGAACAGAACATTAGACATTGGTCTCACACATTTGGTGCTCACACTGGTCAGGGAAAAACGAAATCAAGCGTTGGATACTCACCCGAGCATTGGAGGCAACCCTGCAATGGTCAGAGATGATGCTGGACTTGACGCAGTCTGTAGGTGCTAACCTGACCCCATAGAATCGATAGGACACGCCAGACACGATCTGGAATCACGTGACCAAATGTTTAACTATAGGGTAACGAAACCTCGTCTGACATTGGAATCATTCAACAACCCTACAATTCGCTCTAAACGACATTGGAATCATTCAACAACCCTACAATTCGCGCTAAACGACATTGGAATCATTCAACAACCCTACAATTCATTCTAAACATTAATAATAAATATAATAATATCAATGAAAATCGCATCTTCGCAAGAAAGAGCAAAATAAATAAATTAAAAAAAAAAAAAACCAACCTTTTTGCATGAACTATGTATCTAAATTGACAAATGTAGTAACATTATATCCCAGTTCACAAATTAACCTATCACCAATAATGATTGTGAAAAAAACCAAGACTCGTTAATACAATTTCGTTAATAAGAAAAACTACATTTGAACTAAGAACCTGTGATGTGACAGAGAAAACGACATGAACTAAGAACCTGTGATGTGACAGAGAAACTAAATGAACTAAGAACCTGTGATGTGACAGAGAAAACGACATGAACTAAGAACCTGTGATGTGACAGAGAAAACGACATGAACTAAGAACCTGTGATGTGACAGAGAAAACGACATGAACTAAGAACCTGTGACGTGACAGAGAAAACGATATGAGCTAAGAACCTGTGATGTGACAGAGAAAACTACATTAAATAAGAACCTGAGCTGTAACTTTGGAGATTCCTGTATATTTTTTCCAGTAGAGAGAATTGGTCTGGTTGTTGATTGTTTTCACAGCGAAGCTCAGCGCCTTCTTGACCTCATCACTCTGGAGGTCAATCGTCCTCTCCCCTCCCACCAACACAGGTTTTTTAGTGGTCGGTTGAGCTGTAATACCAACACATATTTTTTAGTGGTCCTTTGAGCTGTAGAATTTATACCAACACAGGTTTTTTAGTGGTCTTTTGAGCTGTAGAATTTATACATTTAAAAAAGCTAAAAGACCTGTCCGTGTCAAGATTTACGTGTAGATACATTTAGGTCAAAGATACCTAGTTGTTCAAAGTTGTTGTATGAACCCCTTTCTGGCAGAAGAACCAGACAAACAGCGCTAACTTTTTTAATTAACTCAGGCTAGGCGCTGTAGTTAGTTCCTGAATCAACTAGGGCTAGGCGCTACACATTGTGCGGTCAGGTGGTTAAGTGGTCTAGAGGTACATCGCACGTTTGCCAACCTGAAAGTCACCAGTCAGATCTCGAAATGGTCGGTCGTCCCCTGCCCGAACTGCCATTATGCCCAAACCATTTGTGTAATGTACTGGAGGACTAAGCAAACATGGGTGAGGACAATGATCCACCCTTAGCGCTGTTTGTCTGGTTCATCTACCAGAAAGGGTTCAAACAACAACTAATTACAGCGCCTAGTCGAGTTAATTAAAAACAATGTAGCAGCTATTCTGAGTTGATTCAAGAACTAATTACAGCGCCTAGTCTGAGTTAATTAAAAAAAATGTAGCAGCTATTCTGAGTTGATTCAAGAGCTAATTACAGCGCCTAGTCTGAGTTAATTAAAAAATGTAGCAGCTATTCTGAGTTGATTCAAGAACTAATTACAGCGTGTACCAACCTAGAGGTGTACACACAGGGTCTACGGACGTCTTTAAACCTTCAGGCTCGGGCAGCCACGGTCTGGACCAGACTTTCACCACACAAAGTTCATTCTAGGCGAGATCAACAAATAGAAGATTCTTGTTTAAGTCATTGTTATATTTAGTAATGCACTTCAAGTGTTGCCATATACTAAATCAAAGAACCAAAACTCTCGCGATTTATGCGGAATAATTCAACATACAATTTTATCCCTCATTTGAATAAAATTACATATTAATTTTTAGAACACGTGTCGTCAGCTATTTTTTAAAAAGCTGAGCACTTGCCAAAAAAAAACATACTGTTTAAAGTATGTGTTCCATTTTGTTCGGGAGGGGGGGGGGGGGGCGGTAGACTTTCTTCAAAGGATGCATGGAAGAAACTCTGCAATCAAGGCAAAATGCTGAGACTCGGCAGAAGAAATGTTTTACAAGGACTCAAAGGGAAAGCACTGTGCAAATTGCTTACACTCTGTTCATCCAATCGCAGAGATAACAGGGCAGGTAACTAAGCATCAGTGATGGAAGATGACATCAGGAAAATCAGCTGGGGTTGGATAGGGCACACCCTGCCGCAAGGTATGCTTAAAATATGGTCAAGCAAGAAAAACATGCGGACTCAAACTTGAGGCGGACACTGCGAAGATGGGCAACACCCGGTGTCAGGTTGAAAAAAGAGCACTGGACAGAGGACTCTGGAGATCTTTGGTTGGTGGCCCACACCCCAACAAGACAGAGGACTATGGAGATCTTTGGTTGGTGGCCCACACCCTAGCAGGACAGATGACTCTGGGGATCTTTGGTTGGTGGCCCACACCCCAACAAGACAGAGGACTCTGGAGATCTTTGGTTGGTGGCCCACACCCCAACAGGACAGAGGACTCTGGAGATCTTTGGTTGGCGGCCCACACCCACCCCAACAGGACATAGGACTCTATAAATCTTTGTTTGGTGGCCCACACCCCAGCAGGACAGAGGACTCTGGAGATCTTTGGTTGGTGGCCCACACCCCAACAGGACAGAGGACTCTGGAGATCTTTGGTTGGTGGCCCACACCCCAACAGGACAGAGGACTCTGGTCATTTAAAAGTTCGCGTCAGGCCGAGCAGACACGCCTACACGCCGAGGGGTTGTTTACACGCAGACAGCTGTTCACAGTAGTGCCCTGGTGATGTATTCGTCAACATAAGAAAGCACACCGAAAAAAAACCAACACAAAATGTAATGAAATGTCTGCAGCAGACTCTAACCAACTGAGTCAATAGTGTGTAACAAAAAAAACAAATTGTGATATCTTAAAAAAATCCTCCACAGTTTGCAAATCGTTAAGTCAAACAAAAGTTATTATTCAACATTTTTTCTAGCTTGAGCTACTTGTTGCATATTCAACATACAAGACCGTCACACATGGCACAGCTGTTGAGCGTGCAACATTTCACAGGAGAAAGTTGTGTCACCATTTGCCGAGTTGGCTTTTTTGTGTTCCCATTCAAACCAAGGCGTCTAATTATATCAAGCCTGGAGCTATGAAAGGGACCATTGACACGAGAGGAAATATAAATGATAAAGGGGTGTAAAGGAAATATAACTCCACACCATCGTTGGCAGATAGTTGGCTGCGCCTTGCTGTGTATGGCCCTCTGTATGGTACTGACATTTCGTTCTAATATCTTGACAAATGTCAATTATTCTTAGTCACCTGTAATTTGACACATTCCTCGTCCCGATATATCAGTATATTATATATATAGCTGATATTTGAATGTGATATTGTTATATTACACTCGAGGGAGGGGGGGGGGGGTTCAAGTGTGAATGTTTTTAACCAAAATGTTTTCAGTGTTTCAATGAACCTTTTTGAGAAGAAACTAGAAGGAGGGGCGGGGGTGGGGGGGGGGGGGGGGCTAAACGTACCCATTGTACTAAAGGTGTGCTAATGAAATGTCAGCCTTACCTGTTGGCCCGTAGTGACAGTCAGGTTTAAGTGAAGCAGTTCACCTTGCACAACCTGTTTGAGTTGAGGTAAACAAAACCAGTTAGGTAATGGTTTCAGATGTAACGTTATAGGAAGCATTTAGTTAGGCAATGGTTTCAGTAGTGACTTAACGAAGCATTTAGTTAGGCAATGATTTCAGATGTAACGTTATATGAAGCATTAGTTAGGCAATGGTTTCAGTAGTAACGTTATACAAAATTCTATTTAAAAGAATCGTAACCAAGAAACAATAGGTGTGTATACACAATTAATCCAGTAGATATTTAATAAAATCTTTATATTGATGTACTAACCTTGGGGCCCCCGAAATTTCCGAGGCCCTAGGCTGCTCCCTAGTCAGCCTCTCACTTAATCCACCACTTTACTGAATACAACTCTACGCAAATAGACTGAGGTTTACAGCTTGTGTCATATAAAGTGAGGTTTACAGCTGTACCCACACAAAGTGAGGTTTACACTTGTACCCACATAAAGTGAAGTTTACAGCTGTATTCACATAAAGTGAGGTTTACAGCTTTAAACACATAAAGTGAGGTTTACAGCTGTACTCACACAAAGTGAGGTTTACATCTGTACTCACATAAAGTGAGGTTTACAGCTGTACCTACATAAAGTGAGGTTTACAGCTGTACCTACATAAAGTGAGGTTTACAGCTGTACTCACATAAAGTGAGGTTTACAGCTGTACTCACATAAAGTGAGGTTTACAGCTGTACCTACATAAAGTGAGGTTTACATCTGTACTCACATAAAGTGAGGTTTACAGCTGTACCTACATAAAGTGAGGTTTACAGCTGTACCTACATACAGTGAGGTTTACAGCTGTACTCACATAAAGTGAGGTTTACATCTATACCCACATAAAGTGAAGTTTACAGCTTTAAACACATAAAGTGAGGTTTACACCTGTACTCACATAAAGTGAAGTTTACAGCTTTAAACACATAAAGTGAGGTTTACATCTATACCCACATAAAGGGTATAAACTAATAAATCGGCGGTTGTACCATGAACTGATCCGCGTCGATAAATTTCTTTAAACAGCTTTGTTGGCCCGATATCTCACGTCCCAATATGTTTATCTTTTTTTTTTGGCGAAGGTTCGAGTCTTCGATCTGCAACAGGTGTTACAAGTTCCGATAGATCAGCCCGTTTAGCCCCACGGCTTAACAACTTCACGACACCAGAAACAAATAAAATCTAAATAAAATCTAAACGTTTCATTAGGTAGAGTTCGTGGTTCGAAATGTTCGGTCAGCCGCGAGCAGTAATGTAAGGGGTCATCCATTTATGACGTCCACACGGGGGGGGGGGGGGGGGGGGTGTCCGAAAAAAATTGACGTTTGCGGACGCGTGTGGGGAGGGGGGTGTGTGGCCCAACGTCCACACATTAAATCTAACAATATTTTTGGTAATGTGAAAGAAAAATATTTCCTAGCGAAGCTAAAGTTCAACTGTCCTATCTCTCTGGCCATTTAACCACCCAGCTTGGGGTCTATGCTCTGGCTTAACCTCGAATACAATAGGGTATCCCATTACGTGTTTCCCCAAATTTGCATCCCAGGTAAAAGACCAGGCGACCGGCATCCTAGCCTGCACTTCTCTAGGTAGTCGGGGACGTCCCTGTTCAGTTGTGGGACGGGAGAGGGGGGGGGGGGGGCTTTAGCACGCTGTCCCAGTTCAGGTGTGGGACGGGAGAGGGGGGGGGGGCTTTAGCACGCTGTCCCAGTGTGGGACGGGAGGGGGGGGGGAGCGTTAATTAACGTTGGACTCAGTAATATAACAGTGTCCATGCGGCTACAAGTGTGCAAAATAACGTCTAGTCAAAACACCGCGAAATATGCTAAATTAAATGATTTGTATCAAAAGGTGTTAAATGATTTGTATCAAAAGGTGTATCCTTCAAAATCAAAAATTCAACTTCAAAAAGAGGTTAATAGCCTATGGCTTAATTTAAAGAAGCAGCCAGAGGAACAATTCATAGCTAAATTAGTTGAACTGCAGGACGTCATCAGGATAAATCAGTCCCGATCTTTATCATTTTGGGACAATTTAAAACCTAGCAATGAATCTGTATTGGTTTGATTAAAAAAAATTGTGGACGTCATAAATGGATGACCCCTAATTGTAATGTAGGCCTAGTTGGTTGTTTCCCTTGCCTGAAGTACCTAGATGTTTTTCTGGCTAAATCCAAACATTTCTCTGTCTGCGTGTTTGACCGAGGTCAATATTTTTGCAGGTAAAACGTACCTGCACTGACAGCAGTACCTGCACCCCTGCAGGTTTAAATAAACGGGTGGCAGAAATTTGTCGTCTGGGGGTAAATAAAACAGTCGCAATGTAATTGTCACCATAGGTGGTGGCTGACCCAGTTTCTAGTGAACACGGGACATGAGGTGACAAGATGTGCTAGTCAGCTGTTCACTGTGTGTTGTGTGGTATGTGTCGTTTGAGTTAGCTGTGTGCTATACGTTTCACTGTTTGTGTGTTGTGTGGTAATTATGTGTCGGTTGATGGTGAGATTTGGAACTTAATGTTGCATTAGATAACACAATTCAGAGTTTAGGTGGGGGCGTAGGCGACACATCTGGTGAAGAAGTTTAGCTAAAAGAAACACAATGTGTTCCACGTGTAGCTTTAGTCCCGCTTTAGCGTAACTAGTCCGCTAAATAAATAAGGATTTTCTTACAGAAATACGCCGACTATATATGTAGGCTATACTTCAGTAATACAGAAACACATATCAATGATTACTGAAGTAGTAAAGTAACATTAATTATTACTGAAGTAATACTGTAACAGACCCAATATTACCTCGAACACTGTTACTTATAAGCCCCGGTGAGTGTAGCTGATGAATGAACATTCCTGTGTAAAGGCCGACACGGTGTGTAGCTGGTCAAATGAATGAACATACCTGTGTAAAGGCCGACACGGTGTGTAGCTGGTCAAATGAATGAACATACCTGTGTAAAGGCCGACACGGTGTGTAGCTGGTCAAATGAATGAACATACCTGTGTAAAGGCCGACACGGTGTGTAGCTGGTCAAATGAATGAACATACCTGTGTAAAGGCCGACACGGTGTGTAGCTGGTCAAATGAATGAACATACCTGTGTAAAGGCCGACACGGTGTGTAGCTGGTCAAATGAATGAACATACCTGTGTAAAGGCCGACACGGTGAGTGTAGCTTGTCAGATGAATGAACATACCTGTGTAAAGGCCGACACTATGAGTAGCTGGTCAGATGAATGAACATACCTGTGTAAAGGCCGACATTATGTGTAGCTGGTCAGACGAATGAACATACCTGTGTAAAGGCCGACACTATGAGTAGCTGGTCAGATGAATGAACATACCTGTGTAAAGGCCGACACTATGAGTAGCTGGTCAGATGAATGAACATACCTGTGTAAAGGCCGACACGGTGAGTGTAGCTGATGAATGAACATACCTGTGTAAAGGCCGACACGATGTTAACCAGAGTTCTAGCAGCGTTGTCTCCGTTTTTCTGGTAGAATGAGTTGATAGCCTGGACAGCGAACTGGACCATAGGGTCACTGGCATTTAGTCCATGGACCTCTTGTAGACCACCTGGCAGCTGGGCCAGGCACGCAGGCACCGCCAGGAATATGATGGACAGGAAGAAATACATGACTGTGGGCAGCTGATGTTACTGTATGTGGGCTGTAACTGACACTGTAACAGAGGAGGTGGGGTTGGGAGATTGTTATCACAGGTAAGCGAGGTCACTGGCAAGCAAGGGAGGTCACTAGAACATGCGGGCGATGACTATCTTGAAAACATGTCACAAACATGATCTAAAGCGTGGAATATTTTGTAATCGAAATCATACTGTAACGTCGGGCATGCTGTGTAGAAATACATGTCTTAAAAATTTGGACATTTTCTTTAAAGTTTAATGGGAGTTATGATGCTATCAAACAACGTTAAATGGATATAATAGGCTAGATCTAGCGTTATGATGCTATCAAACAACGTTTAATGTATATAATAGGCTAGATCTAGCGTTATGATGCTATCAAACAACGTGAAATAAATCTGAACAGAGAGTTAATAATTTAGTGACCGAAGTTGCCTGATGAAAAATTATAAAAATTATCAAGTCGGTATTTTAGGAATTGGGGTAGTGGTTCATATGCATAGTCTTAGGGGTGGGGGTTGAATTATTTAGGGTAAGGTCGGCGTAAAGTGAAAAGGTCCAATTCAATTAAAATTTTATCTGAAATTTTATCTGACAAAACCCCGTTCAAACACTATTTATCTTCAAAAAATCTGTTCAAACAATTTACAAATGCAACGGTTCAAGTCAAAAACATTCTAGATGTAACTGCAAATGTCCAATTCAATTTTTCTGTGTAAACCAAGACCCTTGTTGAACTGGTTTTTGAATCTGGCATTCACTACCCAGACCCCATGTTACTAGCCAGAAATTCTAAGGCCTAAAAAATAATTCAAACATACTTTTTTATGCTGGTTAGGTTCATTGATACCTATATGTATACATTCATCTTTTTAAACAAAAGCACATTGGTATTTATACAGGAGAGCATTTCTATAAGGCAGGCCTATGAAATAAAATCAGGGAGAGAGAGAGATAGATAGATAGAGATAAATAGAGAGACAGAGGCGTAGCGACCCTTCCCGGCGCTCGGGGACAAACATTCAATTTGGCGCCACCCTGGGACAAAATTTTTAATTTGGCGCCCCCTCCCCCTATATTTTTTATATTTATAATGCAAAACTACAGCTAAAATGAGCTTTTAATTTTTCCCCAACCCATTTTGGCGTCTTCTACGGTCGGCGCGCGGGGACATATGTACCCCTGCCCCCTCTCGCTACGCCTCTGGAGAGAGATTGAGAGATTGATAGAAATAGAAGAGATAGAGAGAGATAGAGAGAGATAGAGAGGGATAGAGCAAGAGAGAGAAATAGAGATAGATAGAGATATTGAGAGGGTTTAATATACTCGTGAATAGAAGATGATGCCGTAATTAACTACAGAATGAATAATTGTACAAAATCACGAGCGGTAGTTAACTACAAAATAAATAACTGTACAAAATATTGACGCCGTAATTAACACCAAAATAAATAACTGTACAAAATATTGACGCCGTAATTAACACCAAAATAAATAACTGTACAAAATATTGACGCCGTAATTAACACCAAAATAAATAACTGTACAAAATATTAACGTCGTAATTAACTACAAAATAAATAACTGTACAAAATAATGACGCCGTAATTAACTACAAAATAAATAACTGTACAAAATCACCAGACAACATACCGTGCAGACGACGATGGCAAACGGGCAGACGACAGCGGTGTATGGACAGGCGACGCGTGAGGTGTTCACATAGCACGTTAGGTTCAATTTGGTGTGTGACGTCATGTGGTGTCACGTGATGTCAGCGGTTCCAAAACTTTGACGTTAGGATTTCACAAACATCGCCTCCTGGTGAACAAAACTTTGACGTTAGGATTTCACAAACATCGCCTCCTGGTGAACAAAACTTTGACGTTAGGATTTCACAAACATCGCCTCCTGGTGAACAAAACTTTGACGTTAGGATTTCACAAACATCACCTCCTGGTGAACAAAACTTTGACGTTAGGATTTCACAAACATCGCCTCCTGGTGAACAAAACTTTGACGTTAGGATTTCACAAACATTACCATATATTACACATATACATATACATATACATATACATATACATATACATATACATATACATATACATATACATATACATATACATATACATATACATATACATATACATATACATATACATATACATATACATATACATATACATATACATATACATATACATATACATATACATATACATATACATATACATATACATATACATATACATATACATATACATATACATATACATATACATATACATATACATATACATATACATATACATATACATATACATATACATATACATATACATATACATATACATATACATATACATATACATATACATATACATATACATATACATATACATATACATATACATATACATATACATATACATATACATATACATATACATATACATATACATATACATATACATATACATATATATATATATATATATATATATATATATATATATATATATATATATATATATATATTACGTATGTTCCCGAAATTTGACTGAAGATCCCCAGTAAGGCTAATTGTCCCCTGCAGCTCAACCAGATATAAACTTACACAGTAGCTGTTGTTCATCTTGTACAGTGGTTGCTTCCATCCCTCCCACACATCGAAGTAACAAGCGGGGCACTGAAAAGAAAAGTCATCTCTCATTACAAGTCAGGCATATATGTTTATTATAGATCATTTGGGTTTACTACGATGTTGGAAGAAAACATGCCAAATCCTGTTTCGTCCCAAATATGCAATTTTAAAGCTAGGTTTGATTTAACGTACTAAGTAGGCCTATAAAACTCAGGTAAATTTCAACAAAAAGTGAATTATTTTTTAGTCGAAATTTCTAAAATGTAAGCTAATATTAGAGGGTAAAAATGCATTACAATGTTTTAAAAACAAATTTTGGTGTAATAATACATTAAAAAGAAGAAAGTAAATCATCTTTATACTACTAAAACTTAAGTTTGTTTACACGTTTGAATATTTATTTGTTTTTATGTTTGTCTGATTGGTTACAGGAGAGAACCTGCACTATGTGTAGAGCTGTAAAAAGAGTATGTAGGTAGAGAACAATTTTTGTTTTCAGACAGACTGTTAATCACAAATTTATTTAAAGAAGTTAATTAATTTATTGATTTATTTATTGGTAGATTCACATTAATTTTAAAAGTTTAGAAAAAACGACTTTACTTTGAGTGAATAGTGACGTCACATGATTTGTTTACTTTTTAGTACAATACATGGCGGCTCCAATACAAGATTTCGTTGCTTATTCAGATTTTTAACGCGTTATAAAGCTAATTTTCTGACGGCTATAACTTTAACAATACGTCCGTTTGCTGTTTTTATTACATGTCTTTTTCATTTAGTTTACAATAAATTTCTCTAGCTCTACAATCTGTCCAAGAAAGTTATTTATAGATCTAAATATCAGGTGGCCAAGAAAGTTATTTGTAAATCTAGAATCTAGGTTGAACCAAATTATTTTAAAATCAGAATAATTTATTAAGTTTCTTTATTAAACTTTTTTTAGTCCTTAAATATTTGATATACATTTTTCCTTTTTAGCTACATCTAATTCAAGAATAATACAAGTGATTTATCTATCTAGACCTAGAATAGGTCTAATCTAGATCTAGCAAGAGTTACGCACGGCAAAAACTAGACTTAACCCAACCAATCGTAGAATCTAGATAATTCTATCTAGATCTAGATAATAATGAGTTTCTATACTATTTCAGACCTTTATTATCTATATACTACTAAAACTCAAGTTTGTTTACATGTTTGAATATTTATTTATTTATTTATTTATTTATTTTTGTTTGTCTGATTGACTACTGGAGAGAATCTGCGCTATGTGGAGAGCAGTAAAATAGTATGTAGGTAGAGAACAATTTTTGTTTTCAGACAGACTGTTAATCATAAATTTATTTAGAGATGTTAACTAATTTATTGATTTATTCATAGGTAGATTAACCACATTAATTTTAAAAGTTTAAAACATTGACTTTACTTTGTGGGAATAGAAACGTCACATGATTTGTTTACTTTTTAGTACAATAAATGGCGGCTTCAATCCAAGATTTAGTTGCCCATTCTGATGTTTAACGCGTTCTTAAACTAATTTTCTGTCGGCTATAACTTTAACAATACGCCCATTTGCTATTTTTATTACGTTTCAACACTATTTTCAAAGTTTTAACACTTCTTTTTATTTTATTATACAATACATTTCTCTAGATCTACAGATCAGCTGTCAAAGGAAGAAAAAGTTATGAATCTAGATCTAGATCTAAATCTAGGTCACTAGACTTAAATTCTAGATCTAGAATTAATGTAATTTCTACATCTAGAATCTATTTCAGGCCTTAATTATTTTATATAAATCTTTGTTTAGCTTGAATGAACATCTAATTCGAGAATACATGGGATTTATCTATCTAGGTTCTAGATCTAGATATAGTAGGATTACTTGCTAACTTGGAGGCGTGCTCGGTTGCTAACAACAATGGCGTCCGGATCGGACGTATGACTTCCGACCATTTTTAGGCCATGTTTACCACGAGCAAAATGGCGAGATTTCACGTTATATAAACATGCTATATGTGGCCAGGGCTAGATATGCCAGAAAAGCATTTTAAAATTTGCTTTGGAGAATTAAGGCTAAATTTTGAAGTCGGTGTCGTTAAAATTAATAGAACTTTTAAAAGGTCACCTTTGACGTAAGTATATGAAGGGATAGTGTTGTCAGACCCATGCTCAGCCGAAATCAGTGTTTTTAAAAGATAAAAAACGTCTTTTTGAATGTGGGGTCTGGTTATTTTGAGATAAGTCACAGACGTGATGTCATTTATGGATGACCCCCGAAACCTGCAGTCATCCAAGGTATCACAGGTAAGTCTAAGCTTTATATAAATCTTTGTTTGTTTAGCTATGGAATTGGCTAATTTAAGATCAATTTTAATTTGAAAGTTACTAGACTTAGATCTAGATTTAGCTCTAGATAGGGCCTATGCGCGTAAATCCAGTTGCATAAGGAGACTCAAAGTATTTAAATAATATTAAAAAAAACAACTTTGACGTCACGAGTCTAGATAGCTAAGTTGTTAGTGTTCATGTGGGTGGCATGGGTTCTAGACACATCACGTCAATGTTAAAAACAATACAATTTTTTAGATGTAAATGATAAGGTTGCCTATCTGAACTTGGCGGGATTTTTTGTCCTAAGTATATGAAGCGATAGTGTGGTCAGAGACATGCTCGGCCAGAATCGTTTTTTTAAACGATAAAAACATGTTGTCTGAGACTTGGCGGGACGCTGGGCAGGTGAAGTGGAGTTGAGTAGGTCACCTATGACATCAGTATATGAAGGGATAGTGTGGTCAGACCCATGCTCAGCCGAAATCGGTGTTTTTAAAATAAAAAAACAAAACAAAAAACAACGTCTTTTTTAATGTGGGGTCTGTTTTTTTGTGACGATAAGTGACAGACGTGATGTTTTTTATGGATGACCCCCGAAACCCACAGTTATCCAAGGGATGACGGGTAAGTCTAGTTTTCTTTAAATATATAAATATATAATAATAAAGTATTCTAGAGAAAAGCGTGGGTCACTATATTATCTATTGGATACCTTTGCTAATATTTAAGTAGAAACCAACGCTTTAGTTTATAGTTATTTAAATAGTAGTGTATTATTATATTTAAAGGAAGACATTTATTTTCTCCCTTTATTTAACTTGCTTCCTCGTCATAGATCGAAACGGGCGAGCGAAATTTCGAGCACTTCTAGTTGACGGATTCATTTCAGAGTTGGCACGTGGGTTAAGACTTAAAAACAATGCAGTATGACATCAAATTTGAATTAATTTGATTTCTAATTAATTTTTATGAATTAATCAAAATTTTCTGAAATTAGTAGTTTTATGGCTAAAAAGTACTGCGAACCAAATGAACATTACAATGAAATAATAGAAGTAAGTCACCCTACTAATTTGAAAAACATTTTGATTAATTATAACAAACTAACAAGTCATCCAATTAAGTCAAATTTGGATGTCAGATTTCATTGTTATCGGGTCTTGACCCAAGTGCCAAATTTCAGAGTAATTGGTAGGTTGGAAGTTGTCGATATTTCATTCGCCTCTAGACACAGGTAGCAAGTTAAATAAAGTCTTGTAAAAACAGCTTCATCAAAATAAATCTGGGATCGTTGTTGGTTTCGCACACATTGAAGAAATCTTAGATATAAACGATCGCGTGTCATAATAGGAAGAGAGAGAGGGGGGGGGAGAAAAAGGGCGGAGAGTGAGAAAGAGAGAGAGAGAGAGAGAAAGAGAGAGAGAGAGAGAGAGAGAGAGAGAAAGAGAGAGAGAGAAAAGAATCTCACTGTAACATCTTTAGTAGGGACACATCCAGGAGTGAGCGAGTGGGTGGTCTTCTTGGAGCAGTTGGTTGGGGAGAAAACCACGTCAGTGAACTTGAATAAAGTACCAGACACAATCTGAAAATACAGATTTTAACACATCTTTACATCAAATTTAAACAGTCAGAGGGGCTTACATAATTCTAGCCATTTGACTACTGGAGTGGGGCTACTGGAGAGGGGTACTGGAGTGGGGCTATTGGAGGCGGGTACTGGAGTGGGCTACTGGAGTGGGCTACTGGAGTGGGCTACTGGAGGGGGTTACTAGAGGCGGGTACTGGAGTAGGATGTTTGTGTAGAAATATTGCATACTAAGCGGGAAACAATTCAATTCTCTACAAGCAAGACAAGACAAGTTACTTTAACGATAGAAGTAACCTTCAAAAAACAAACACACACATATCACAGCAAGATGTGACCTAACAACACAAGTGGCGTAGGCAGGGGGGGGGGTTAGGGGGGGTCATAACCCCCCATAGACCCCTCGGTATATATATATATATATATATATACTAGCTGCATCCCGTGCTCCGCCACGGTAAATCTTTTTTAAATGTACCAACTTTGGAACAGAACAAAACAAACAAAAACAACACAAAAAACACAACCACAAACGCAACACAACCACAACCACAATACAACCACAACACAACCACAACACAACCACAACACAACTTGCAACACAACCACAACCACAATACAACCACAACACAACCACAACACAACCACAACACAACCACAACACAACCACAACACAACCACAACACAACACAACCACAACACAACCACAACACAACCACAACACAACCACAACACAACCAAAAACAACCACAACACAACCACAACACAACCACAACACAACCACAACACAACCACAACACAACCACAACACAACCACAACACAACCACAACACAACCACAACACAACCACAACACAACCACAACACAACTACAACACAACCACAACAAAAACACAACTACAACACAGCCACAACACAACCACAACACAACCACAACGCAACCAAAAATCAACCACAACACAACCACAACACAACCAAAAAACAACCACAATACAACCACAACACAACCACAACACAACCAAAAAACAACCACAACACAAACACAACACAACCAAAAAAAAAACACAACCACAACATTAGAATCACCACCAAACCGTTTTTTTTTTAGTCGTCCGCGCCCAAAGAGAGCCTTTCCAACATTAAAAATTTAAGTCACATAAATAGATCCTACTCCATAACTTACAATAAAACAATGCGATGCAAATGAATGTACGGCAAGTGGTGTTTACTTTTATGGTTCTAAGAAAACACATTGGCAATGTAATTAGAATTACCACCGAAAAACACGCTTTTCCCTGGCGTCCGCGCCCAGAGAGAGTCTTTCCAGCATTCTCTATACTATAATTATAAAATTTCACCATCTGTTAACACCAAAAAACAAAAACAAAAAATAGTGATTTTGAGAAATCATAGACTAATTAGAAAATAATATAAATAATCTTAACATTTTTCTCTTTTAATTATGAACCTTAACATAGACTAATCAATGCGGTAGTAATAAAAAATAAGATTAACTTAAATTATTGTTGAGTTAAATATATTTTCGAATTACCTCCCTTGAAAAAATTACCACAAAAAAAAAGTTGAATTTTTTCTAGGAATACAAACTAAACTGATATTTGACATTGATCTTTTTAATATGTTTTAGCAATGTGCAAATATTTAATATTTTCATAACGTTATGCAAAAAAATAAACACAGTGGCATTTATAAAATAGCTCTATGCCGTTATATAAACGAATCCTACTCTATTACTTACAATAATACACTGCGGTGCACTGAAAAGCACAGCATGGTGCGAATGATTACTTTTATCGTTCCAAAAGCTATAGCGATGACGGACGGAAGGAAGGAAGGAAGGACACGCTCAGCCCGATTATATTATAGATATATATATATATATATATATATATATATATATATATATATATATATATATAAAGTATGAGGGGGGGGGGCAAATCGAAAGTTTGAGGGGGGTGCAAATCGAAAGTTTGACGGGGGGGGGGGGGGGGTGCAAATCGATAGTTTGTCCCCGGGTAAAAATTGGACCCCCCCTTGAGACGATCCTGGCTACGCCACTGAACAACACACAAGATGTGACTCAACAACACACACATATCACAGCAAGAAGTGACTCAACAACACACATATCACAGCAACATGTGACGCAACAACACACACACATATCACAAGTGACTCAACAACACAAACATATCACAAGTGACTCAACAACACACACATATCAAAAGATGTGACTCAACAACACAAACAAATCACAAGAGACTCAACAACACACACATATCACAGCAATGACTTACCTGAGAAGTAACTAGACCGATGGACACAGCTTTCCACAGGACGGGAGAATCTGAATCGTTGTTAAATGTGCACTCAGCGAAGCTTAGGGCTTTCTGGACCTCGGTGTTGTTGATGTTGACCACAACTGGAAATCCCGCTGGAACAAATGACTGGCGATTAGTCTCATTCTACGGCTCCATGGTTGTTTTGTGCACCAAGTATTTTATCATACAGTTTTGTGGAATTTTCAGTCAATCGTTTTATGTGATAAAATTTAGCAGGGTATTTTAAAGGGATTCGTTTTTGTGCGTGTGTGTGTGTGTGTGTGGGGGGGGGGGGGGGGGCTGGGGCGTGAAGGATTTTAAAAATATAATTTTTTTTGCCCATCAAAGAACGTTTCACGGAAACACCACTCCAAAGTGTATGTGACAGTAATTCAAACTTGCACAGTATTATGAGAAGGTGACTACACTACAAAGGGAGCTTCTTTATCAGGCAATGATTTAGAATATTCTAGACTTTCTAGAATTAAGAGTTTGAGCCTCGAAAAAAATATTTTAAGTTGGAAAAAAAAATAATTTAAAGTTCGTCTGTGCTGACTCCCTTCGGTGCAGTCTGGATCCCTGGTAACCAAAAATGCATCGCCGTCCTTCAGCCATGGGCGGGACCAGACGTCAACCTGGCAGAGCTCAACCTGGTGGTCGAAAAAAGAGTACGTTACAGAATCGAATCAGGCGCATACCCTGGGTCCCCCGTGAGCATTAACGCATCAAATTTATTTTATTTATTTTAAAGACACCCTACAATAGAGACACGGTGGCACACGATGACTAAACTTAACCAGGGGCCATATACGGTGCCACTATTGTTGTATAACCGGTGAATCTCGAGAGCTCCACCGCGACGCAAATTACACCTGTGTGGTCACCGAGGAATATTCTACCCCCACTAATGCAGAGGTTGATTTAACTCAAAGGCTACACGCAGCACGCCCTGGAGCGTCTGGGCGGTAATGTGGACAAACCCGCCTTAACAACTATGATTAAAAAAATACAGCGCCGGCATTGTTTAATCTTAAATTACTCAGATTTTGAAAACAAGATCACGTGTTTAAAATACACGATTGGTAACGCATTGATGAAATCATCTCTTGATATTGCGTCAGCATTTCTCCAGAGACCTCATCAACACATGTGATGGGTTCGCCAGTGTGATATATAGGAAAACATAGTTTCTTACACCGCTGGCAGAAAGTTGGTGGTTACTTGCTATGTATAGCTCTCTGTTTGCTATTGATATTGTCGTTTGAGGAAAAATGTTAATTATTCCTAGGCACACGTCATTTGAAATATACCACGAGCCGATATGTCAGTAAGCTCATACTTGAATGTAAAATGGGTATCTGGCACTCGAGGGGTGAAGTTTATAGCACGCTGTTACAGTGTGTTTTTTAAAATTATTTTTCTATCCTTTTTAATATAAGTAAAATAAAAATCTCCTAAGACACACATAAAGAAAGGTAGTCGATTTTTAAATTGTCAATGCAACAAACAACGTTTAGTAAATAATTTACAATACTTAACGAAAATCTTTCTAACAAATATTTTAAGGAAAGGGGTGGTTCGAGCTAAGAGGAGTAATACACACCCACATTTAAAGTACGCAGGCGTACTAAAAGATTGTTGTTAGCTGTTACCTTTCCAAGTGTGCTTACGACCAGGTTCAGGTACCATTTTTCACCCTCGACAGTCTGTTTGAGATAAGGTAGATACGTTTTGTTAGAACATTTTCATTCAAATACAATGTGCTGAATTAATTTTGTTAGAACATTTTCATTCAAATACAAGTTGCTGAATTCATTTTGTTAGAACATTTGCATTCAAATACAAGTTGCTGAATTCATTTTGTTAGAACATTTGCATTCAAATACAAGTTGCTGAATTCATTTTGTTAGAACATTTGCATTCAAATACAAGGTGCTGAATCCATTTTGTTAGAACATTTTCATTCAAATACAATCTGCTGAATTCATTTTGTTAGAACATTTTCATTCAAATACAAGGTGCTGAATACATTTTGTTAGAACATTTCTCATTCAAATACAATGTGCTGAATACAACACTAAATAAATAGGGTAAGGTTAGCAACTAGACACAAATAGGGTGAGATTAGCAACTTGACACAGATAGTGTTACAAGCTCCAACGGACGAGGCAAGTGAACCCCACTGCAAGTAACACCAGAAATAAAAAGAAATCACAAAGTTTCATTAGTTGTTTAGTTGTTATATTAGTTTAACATGCTTTATTGTCAGCAAAAGTGTCTGAATGTTTCCCTCCCATAAGTATCTGAATGTTTCTCTCCTAAAAGTATCTGTGAAGCTATAGGTAAACATGACACATACGGTATTGTGAAGCTAGAACAAACACATTTGTTACATGCGTTGAATTACATTGAGTAATTAAAATACAAAAGTAATGCAGTGAAAAAAACCAATCATCTCTTGAATAGTACAGTAACAAGGTAAAATAATTACTTTGTTAAGGCGGGTCTGGTGAACATACCTTTTTATAGGCTGACGAAACATTACAGAATGTTCTTGTGGCGCTGTCCCCTTGCTTCTTGTAGTGTTCGTTGATGGCCTCGACTGCGAATTTGACAATGGGACAGCTGCCATTTAGTCCTTTTACCTCTGTGGCTTCACCTGGTGCAAAGGCCATACACGTCGACACAACCAGCGACATGATGGACAGGAAGAAATACATGACTGCGGGCAGCTGATGTTACTGTATGTGGGCTGTATCCGACAATGTAACAGGGAAGGTGAGATTGGGGGATTGTTATCAGAGGTAAGGGAGGTCACTGGAAGAAGTGAGGTCACTTGAACATGTAACGGAGGTCATTAGAACATATAAGGGAGGTCACTGGAATATGTAAGGGAGATCATTAGAACACAAGGGAGGTCACTAGAACATATAAGGGAGGTCATTAGAACATATAAGGGAGGTCACTGGAACATATAAGGGAGGTCACTAGAAGCAGTAAGAGAGGTCATTAGAACAAATAATGGAGGTCACTTGAAGAAGTAAGGGAGGTCACTGGAACTTATAAAGGAGGTCACTGGAACATAAAATGGAGGTCACTAGAAGAATAAGGAAGGTCACCAGAACATGTAAGGGAGATCATTAGAACACGTAATTCAATGTATAACCTGGCTAAAATGTTAAAAGAGTAAAATCTACTGCAAAAAAAAACAAAACAAAACAGATGTCATCGCTCATTAGCCTCACCATATAGTATCTCACATTTGACCACCTCACCATATCGTAACTCATGTTTGACCACCTCACCATATGGTATTTCACATTTGACCACCTCACTATATCGTATCCCACATTTGACCACCTCACTATATCGTATCCCACATTTGACCACCTCACCATATGGTATCCCACATTTGACCACCTCACCAAATCGTATCCCATATTTGACCACCTCACTATATCGTATCCCACATTTGACCACCTCACCATATGGTTTCTCACATTTGACCACCTCACTATATCGTATCCCACATTTGACCACCTCACTATATGGTTTCTCACATTTGACCACCTCACCATATCGTAACTCATGTTTGACCACCTCACCATATGGTATTTCACATTTGACCACCTCACTATATCGTATCCCACATTTGACCACCTCACTATATCGTATCCCACATTTGACCACCTCACCATATGGTATCCCACATTTGACCACCTCACCAAATCGTATCCCATATTTGACCACCTCACTATATCGTATCCCACATTTGACCACCTCACCATATGGTTTCTCACATTTGACCACCTCACTATATCGTATCCCACATTTGACCACCTCACTATATGGTTTCTCACATTTGACCACCTCACCATATCGTAACTCATGTTTGACCACCTCACCATATGGTATTTTACATTTGACCACCTCACCAAATCGTATCTCACATTTGACCACCTCACCATATGGTATCCCATATTTGACCACCTCACCATATGGTATCTCACATTTGACCACCTCACCATATCGTATCCCACATTTGACCACCTCACAATATCGTATCCCACATTTGACCACCTCACCATACGGTATCTCACATTTGACCACCTCACCATATGGTATCTCACATTTGACCACCTCTCCATATGGTATCTCACATTTGACCACCTCACCATATCGTATCTCACATTTGACAACATCACCATATGGTATCCCACATTTGGCCACCTCACTATATCGTATCTCACATTTGACCACCTCACTATATCGTATCTCACATTTGACCACCTCACTATATCGTATCCCACATTTGACCACCTCACTATATGGTATCTCACATTTGACCACCTCACCATATGGTATCTCACATTTGACCACCTCACCGATGTGTATATGTAGTATATTTAATTTGTTTAAAATGTGTCATTCTTTTGATGATTTTTAAGCTAAGGTTATTCGTTTCAGTATGTCTGAAGATGAAAATCTATCAAAGTAGTGAATAAAAACCGTAGTCCATATAAATAAATAAAAAAATGTTTAGTCGATTAAAATCTTCCAAATTATGTAAGCAATATACTGTAGGTATTTTGTCGTGCGATATTTTGTCGTGCGATATTTTGTCGTGAGATATTTTGTCGTGCGATAATTTGTCGTGAGATATTTTGTCGTAAGATAGCTTGTCGTGAGATATTTTTTTGTGAGATCTTTTTTTCTGAGATAGTTTCTCTGATATTTTTTTTTGAACTGAGTTGAATATGTTTACGTGCATGTGTGTATGTGTGTGTGCGTATGTGTGTGTGTGTGTGTGTGAGAGAGAGAGAGAGAGAGAGGAAGCAGAGAGTGGCAATATAAATCATATTGGAAAAAAACATTGGAATAAGTAACTTGAACTGAACCTCATTAAAAAATGTACATTTACTAACCATATTTTAGAAGCAACCAATGTAAAAAAATGAGAGGTTAAAGCGACATACCTTCAGATGAGGAGCACCAAAACCAAGATAGCCAGCTGACCACCAAGTGCGGCTTTTATGTTTTCAAACTGTGATTGAGACATCACGTGATTCCACGTGGTGATCACGTGAATCCACTTGGTGTCAGGTTATTCTCAAACAGCTCAACCGGTCTTGACATGTAATTTAAATTTATTCTTCGCCAACACACAAGCAGGTGGATTGGTTGGTTTTGTGACGTTGAGCCCTAACACAATGAGATGTCCATTTAAAACATCCAGACGCGTTGAAAACAAAGTAGTTGGTTGAAAAGAAATGGATTGAGGTGTTAGTTAAAAACGTGGGGAGCCTTGACACGTTGGATCTTGACTATGAGTAATCCCTCAAAGCCAGCTATAGCTGATAAGGTTTTCAAATATCGACATCATTAAAGCTATAGATCAGTGGTTCTTAAACCTGGGTTAGATCAAACCCCAGGGGTTCGGTGAGTCAGTTTCAGGCGTTCGGCTGAGGTTAAGACACACACCCCAGTGATATGATACAAGATCGGATTTTGTTAGTGCGAACGATAGAACTGTTGATAGAGGGGTTCGGAATTAGCATTTGGCAGTGGTGGGGTTCAGTATTTGGGGAGTTAGCATTTGGCAGTGGTGGGATTAAGTATTCGGGAACTTAGCATTTGGGGTTCAGTACCTTCAGGAATGATAAGAACCTCTGTTATAGATCCTTAAAATTACAACCTATACGAAGCATCCACTTTAACGTTATTTTATCAAAACTTTGATTTTTTGAGCTCACCAGCCATAATAACATTAATCTTTATTTAGGGTCTACGACAAATTCCCGAAAGACACTTGCCCGAATGCCGTTTGCCCGAAGGCCGATTTCCCGAATGGACACTTGCCCGAATGCGACAAATGCCCGAATGGACACTTGCCCGAATGCGACAAACGCCCGAATGGACACTTGCCCGAATGCGACAAATGCCCGAATGGGCACTTGCCCGAATGGGACAAATGCCGGAATGGACACTTGCCCGAATGCGACAAATGCCCGAATGCCACTTGCCCGAAGGCCGTTTGCCCGAAAAATGTTAACATTATATATTACTAAATAATCATTCGTAATTAATTTAAATTTTAAATGTTAGTGAACAAAACACATCTTCAACACATTGTCTTACCAATGTGCATTAAATAGAGATCAAACATATTTGACTACGTTTAGTTTTTAAATTTGCCTCATTCTTTTGTTAAATGATCACCACACAAGTTTAGCATAATAAGATAAACAAACAAACGCGCCTCTGTTCAATGTTGCGAGACGCCGCGCTGCCTACGCCGTGTCATAAAAGCTATATAACCACCGCAACACCTCGGCTAAACAAGGTGTTCAAAACATTTATCAAAAGAATGTTAGAACACCGCCGCCAACATCACCTTACATTTATTAAGAATAGAGTTTTTCTTACTGCACTTTCTCAGTTTAAAAAAATAAAAAATAAAAGCTAAATTTAAAAATATAAACAACTTTGTTTTATGCTTAGAATTGTGTTTATAATCAAAATTTCAAACTTAAATTGATTAAAGATGTCTATTTGGAAATATTATTTATTATCTAATATTAACATTTTTCGGGCAAACGGCCTTCGGGCAAGTGGCTTTCGGGCAAGTGTCCATTCGGGCATTTGTCCCATTCGGGCAAGTGTCCATTCGGGCATTTGTCGCATTCGGGCAAATGTCCATTCGGGCGTTTGTCGCATTCGGGCAAGTGTCCCTTTATTTATTAGCCCAAATCTATACATTCACTGACCTAATCATAACTTATCGTACAGGCTTAACGTGTTTGCATGCCAAATTTTCTAATACCTTCGCTTTAACATCCAATTAAGCGTTGTAGGATTTCTTTAACAAACAAATAGTAGGATCTTGTTAAAGGTCATTTTGTCTAATGTTAATGAAACGGTTGAACCGTTTGTAGTAGGAAATTGATGAAGGTCATTTGTCTTACAGCAAATGAAACGGGTGAACAGTTTGTCCTTGTTGCAGGTTTCTCTATCCAATCTTTGATTCAGCTGCGATTGGCTTGTCTAAACGCATCTTGGATATAGCTAGCGCTGGCTACAGCTAATCCCCTGATTGATGCAGCTAGCTCTGGCTATGGCTAATTCCCTAATTGATGCAGTTAGCACTGACTATGGCTAATTCCCTGGTTTTGGGTTTACGTTTAGACTGAGGTTAATGTTGAAGATTAGGTTTAGGTTGCAGTTGAGGTTCAGGATAAGGTTAAGGTTTAGGTTAAGAGATAGAAAGGAAGAAAAATTATCAGCTTATCGCCCATAGTATTAATTTATTTCTCAATGGGCCAATCATCTAGACTTTAATATTCCTAAATTGTAAATGTTTACTAAGGGTACATGAATTTTAGTTTTGTGAAGAATTCACTCGGAAAAGATTAAAAATACAATAAGTAACATTTTAAAGCAGATCGAATAATGCGGTTCATGTATACAATCACTGCAATGAAAGTTTTTAAATAATTAATTAAGTATTAATTGTTTATTAATTTAATTTAGCTAAATCGTCGCGTCTAATGCTAGCTGGCAGTCAGCTGTAGATCTACCTGTTGTGTTGACTTTATATGATTTTTAAGTGACATTCAATCCGTGGCATTCAATTAGTGGCATTCAATTAGTGGCATTCAATTAGTGGCATTCAATCAGTGGCATTCAATCATTGGCATTCAATCATTGGCATTCAGCTATAGCTATAGCTTTTTACGGGGCGCCGTGTCCCGAATGGTGCATCTCGTGTATTTTTTCCGAACATTTTTCTCCAGTGATGGGGAACTTGGAGCGTTGGGGGAAGGGCGACCTTCAATTTACGGCTGGTGGCGGCCGCAATGATTAAGTATACATTTTCTTTATACAATATATTATTACTATTTATTTCAGGGAGGAGGGGGGGGGGAGTGCTTTTAGGGGCTACTCTAACGAATGGTGTAAAACAGTGACACACTAAAGGAAGGGGGGGGGGGGGCGTGCTTCTA